CAAAATTGGTTTATTTCGCAAAAGTGCAATGAAAACAATTTGCTCTCCTCACACGAGTCACATGATCAACAACTGGATGTTGCTACCGCAGCAAACCACGAGGAAGACGGTGACAGGAAGTCGTTGGAGGATCATGGTGTGGCGTGTTTTTATTGACTTATTGCATTAACAAACAAATTCACATATGATTTTAATTGTGTTTCTTAGTTAACAGAAACAACGCAATTACAAAATTGTGTTTTTCCAACATTAGTGGAATATCAAAGTTTTGTACACATTTGCAATGGAAAGGAAGCTACAGACAATATGCAACCAGGCACACGCACAAGTTTGTATTTCTACTTGTATTAGGACCTCCATTTATTTAAGTAACTGTATTTATGCCTATCCCAGACATTTTACCGAACCATTAATAGTCTATTTCTAACCTTAACCAAAACTTAATTCATATCTAACTCTAACCCTTAATCCTAATCTATGGGATTAACGGTGTTGGGAGCAGGCTTTGATCCCTACAAGGCTCATCGGTGTTCATAAGGTTAATAAATATGCCAATAATGATCCTAAGACTATTTTTCTTAGGAAACACACACACACAGCCAAGGTAAATTTAGACAGACAAATCAGCATAATGGTCATGTTTTTGGACTGTGGGCAGATTACTTAGAAACCAGATTACTTAGAGAGAACTTGTGCATGCAAACTTTACGCCAAAAGACCCCAGAACAGAAGAACTAAAGCCTCTTTTCCACTGTCAAGTCTCACTCTACCCGGTTAGTGTCTGGTTTGGTTCTAGCTAAATTAGGTGCATCTCCGTTGGCAGTGTGTTCCTCACTGTGTGGACGTGAACACAGGCAGGTACATGGGCGAACCAATGAGCATGGTCGACGCTCTAATGTCATTTTGAGCGTGTGGACTTGGGTGGAAAGTTTGTCTGAAATCTCTCAATAGATATGTTCAGTGCAGGTTGCCCCATCCGGTTGACGCTGTATGATGGAAAGGTTTGAACCTCAAAGTTTGACCATAGAATTATTGATTTGCAGCTCATCTATTATTATGGTCTTGGAGTGGAATGAAAATGGTGGTTGTAAATCCATGGGCCAATCAAGGAACGCAGTCTGCTGCCAATCCAATCACTTGCGCATACTACCCTAGTTAGGGTTTTAGTCAGTTTTAGTCGAGTCTTGGTGCAAGAAACCCCAAGACAGGTGGCCACCAGAAGGTGGCGCCAGTTGAAAAGCATCCTTGCTTCTGTCAGGCTGCCTCAGGGTAGCTGTGGCTACAACATAGCTTCCTACCATCAGTGTGAGAATGTGTGTATGAATGGCTGAATGACTGACATGTAGTGCAAGCTTTGGATTTTAGAGTCCTCTGACTTGATCAAGTGCTACACAAGTTCAGGCCATTTACATTTTTCTTTTTCTAAAGCACAATGTTTATCAACATTTATATTGAATTTTATGTTTGAGATGCAAGTAAAACAGTTCATTTGTTAAAATAATCCCTTTTTTTTTAAAGGTTTTGTTGGCTCTAGTGGCTTTTATCTGGTTTGACAGGAAGGAGGGGGAAGACATGCGGCAAATGTCGCCAGGCCGGGAATCGGGCCTGTGACCACCGGCATGGGGACTGGGGCCTCGGTGCGTGGGCTGTGCTTTGCCCCTGCACCACCACAGCACCCCAAAATAATAATTGAATAGGGATTAGGACAGACAGAGTAAGCAAGGTGTCGTTTGAGGCAAAAAAAAAAAAAAAGCAATTAATAAAAAATTCCTCAAATTGAGCAGAGCATCAAGTGGAAGGACCAGACGTTTTTCATGGTTAGGTACAGACCTATTCAGAAAGTAATTTTCACAACAAAAGTGCAGAAGTGTAAGGAATGAACATTTTGGTAACGGCTTAGAAAAATAAAATGTCAGGATGATATATGGCTGAATCAGAAGCAGTATAGCAACACGGAGCATTTTTGGGATGTATTGTCCAATGCTCCGTGGAGCTTTTGTGCAGCTCCTTGCCACTCAGTAAATCAATACTTGTATAACCCGACAGCCTGCAGGGCCTAGAGGGCCTAAATGGTAGCTTTATAGAGCAGCACTTTAAATGTTTCACCCAAACACCACAGGCATGACAAAGTCTGACAATGGCTTAGATTGGGTTTTCTCTAACTTTTCTTTGGAGAGCTGCAGCAAAACACTACAGGAGTCTTATTCATTTAACTCCAAGCCAACATCACATTATTATTGGAAGATGACAATAAGTCAGTGAATTTTGATCTGAAGAGAGCTGAAAGCTTTAAACCTTCACTCTGTTGCAGAAACAGAATACATTAAGGTAACGGGGACCAAAAATAAACTAATTTTAATATCCGACAATTTGGCTAAATACAAGACAGATTTTTCAAATGATCACATTTAGTAATGGATAAAGCTGTACGTTAAAATATGATTCCCCACTTTGTTCAATTCTGAATTTACGATGATGTACCACTCTTTCTGAAGAGTTTTGTTCACTTTCACAGGCTTTAGACTCAAGAAACCACTGAAATAGATGACAAATCAAAAAGCAACACATCATACCTTGACCTAAGGAGTTCAAAAATGCATTTAGACTTCACAATTTTACTCAAACAAAGCCAAAAACTTATGATAGAGATCATTTTTAGATGTAAATCAATAGCACAGTTAGCATCGCAAAGAGGGTATTTCCACATTCTGTACATATTCTGTGGAATAAAGAGTCTCAAAGCTTAAAAAAAAGCAGCAAAGAAACTTTGTGTAATCCAGCCAGTTTTTCTGTTACCCCTTGTTTCTAGTCCAAAATGTTAGAATTTTCTCCTCAGCTTTTAATTCTGTCACATTAACTCTGAAAAGAGTTTGGGTGGTCTAAAGTCGTCTAAATCTGTTGGCAATAACAACAGAATTTCTTCTGTTTTTTTTTTTTTTTTGGTTTTGTCTCATCTAAGCCCAACTGCAGAGTCATTTGTATATTTCTTTACAGGAGCTTGTATGTTGTGTTTTATTTCACTTTTGCTACATAAAATGAAAAAAGAGGATCATTGCCTTGGGAAAAGCTGGAGATGATCTTAGAAAAAATGATCACACGAGAGCGAAAATAGCCCCTTAACATTAGATCGTGATTAATGTATGTCGGATCCATCCAACATTAAATGGGTTTTTGTTTTATTAATTAAACTTCCTGGATTAGCTCATTAACATTTATTATTGCCAGTCATTTTTCATCTAAAGTTTAATCCAATACCCAGTGACTAAATAAATTACATGCTAATAATGTCCAAGGGAACTTAGAAAGAGGGAAAAAAAAAAAAACTCAGTTTGTAGTTTAAAAAAAAGTTAGGAGTCATTGCATTTGTTTATGGATGTCAGTGCATCAGAGTTACAAAGAAACATGCAAAATACAACAGTTTTGATTGCAAAAAAAAAAAAATTTAAACTGCAATTGATTACATTAAAACATTTAATGTGTTAAAATTAATGTAACTAGTTGAAATTAACATGTTAAAGTCTGGGCCCTAATTTTTACTCAAGTGAAATGTCACCATTCAAGAAATTACTCAACAGTGGAAAACTATTTTTAAAAATGCTACTAAAGTATTAACTAAATATAACGTCTGATCAAATATATATGTCTGTTATATAGATAAATTGTAAAGTTATGTGCTAATCCTAGAATTTTAAAAGACTAGCATTAAAAAATACAACATAAATGCAAGAAAAAATATTTTTCCAAATAAATGTTCCTCAGTGTAAAATATATGTATGTAATACTTACAGTAGGTAATATTAAGCTAAAATATGTAGTATTTGGTGCATGTTAATTTGATTTCCAGCAGACAGAAAATAACAGAACACATTTTGCTCTTCATTCAGTGAAGTTGCATACAGTCAGTAGAATATCCAGAAATTAGCTCAAATCAGAGTACTGATCATTTACAATAACATTATTCAAGTGAAAGTATGGTCTAGTAAAACTACTCCTAGAAACAGTTTTTTTTTCCCCAAAAAAGTTACTGTAAATGTAACTAGCTACTTCGTACCTCAGAGAAAGCATTCTCCTGCGTCACAGCCTCCTCTGTCGTCTGTAGGGACACGTAGCTGGTCTCCCTCCCAGATTTTTACCAGGTTTGACTCTTCTCTCTTCAAAATTAGCACCTGAGATGAGAAAAGAGTAGAATTTTCAGGGCAATGTGGCTGGGAAAGGTGCTGGAAAAGGTTCTCAAAGCAGTAAAAGTACATTTCAGAGTTGAAGGCTTAACTTTGGCTCCATTTGCACAGAAACTACAGCACCATCTAGTGGCCTGGCATGACAACTACAGATACCTCGAGGCGTCTTGCCGTCAAAACGTCTTTGCAGGCAGCGGTTTGTGTAAACGTAGTTTGTGATTATATCAACCCACCTAAAGTATGAAAGTTGATACTTCTACATGTTTTAATCCGTATTTGCTGCGTTAGCGCTGTTTCCATGTAAAAACAAATACCGGTCCTGAAGATGCAGGAAGAATTAACGCACAGCATAATGGGTTGTAGGAATAAGGTGGATAACGCCTTGAAAAAAATCTTTTTTTTTAAATAAAACACTTTGTGATGAGAAAAAAATAAATATATATAATAAATAAGTTCTTATGTAGAAGCTGGTATGGATGAGAAAGCAACTAATGGGTACACGACAAGGATCAAAATATGCAAATTAACCTGGAGCTGTATCGGAGCATAACAGGAACAAAAACAGGAAATGTTTATATTCATAACAGAAGTTGACATTTCACAAAATATGCTTAATTTCTTCATGTTTGGACCAAGATAAAAGGCTTTTCAAGATATGCTTGGCATCATTAAAAACTGTGTGCTTCCAGCCTGACTCACATTTTTGTCACAACTGTGGCAGCCGTATTGACTTCAGCTGCATTTGTGTATATATATTTCTTTTGAAACCCACTTGAGTTCAAGTAGATGTGGAGGAAAAAAACAGAAGGAATGAACGTGTGCATTTAGATCGTCAAGATTATTTATTTAAAATAAATAAAAACACACATACATGTAGCTTGGTGTGAGAAATATGTAAAGTGAAATACAAACACGGAATCAGATTTAATTTGAAAGCAAATGTGCAGCACTGCACATGCAACTCTTTCCTTGCTCCCCACAGGCAGATCTGTTCACGGTTCTTCCTAATTATCGTGTTCACCATCACTCATCCGTTCCTTCACTTTGAAGTGCTGCTCTTGCTCTCCTCCAGATCACTCTTTTTCCCCTTCTTCACTTCTCCTCACTTCGTCGTCGCCACTGTCCCCCACTCAGCCAAGCATTTGGCGTTCTTGACCTAGTTGCATTTGCGCTCGTCACGCTGTAGTACAGTATACCCTGCAGGCAGCGGTAAACAAACCAGATGTTTATTTGTGGGAGCTAACACTGCTAGTGCTGGAACACAGATGGTGTTCTCCATCAGCAGGCTGAGGAGCAGATGGGATACAAGTTCAATAGTCTCGTTTTACCAGTGCTTTTCTTATTCGCTGCACATTTAACACCAGAGGCAGCAAAATGTCAAAATGTTGGTAGATGCTTTTCCCTTGACTGTGTAATTGTGTAAATTGCTAACAATTACACTCTTTGAGTAATTCTTATAGGACGGCGACTTCTGTGAAGGTTCAGATCTTTCAACGCTTCTCCTTTTGTGGAAAATAGCCCCAACGTTGGTTCACTGGGTTCCCAAAGGTTTTGGATTTTGCAACCTTTCACCAGACTGATGTCAGCGACTTTGTTTTGCAACTACAGTATTCTCAGATTTCTGTTTGTGGAACATGCTGTGTGTGAGCAAGTATTAAGTGTCACAAGCTGAGAGTTTTTTGGCATGGCGTTGATGGGACCTATGTCAAAGAAATTTAGGTATACAATAAAGGAACTTACATTGGTGTGTTTAACTTTAAGTCAAATATCTAACAGAAAACCTTGGTGGATCTGAATTTACAGATTTTTTTCTCTACACTGATGTTAGGTTTAATAACCAGAGGGACATTTCCTTGTGGACTATTGTCACAAATTTGCATCAAACCACTCCACAGCCAAAGTGGTGTATGAGTAGCACTAATGTCAGTTGTTTGGTTTTTACATGTTTGTTTTCTGATATGATTAAGTTTTTCCTTTTCAGTTCATTCATTTGTGCTTAGTTTCTTGTTCTTGGGTTCTAGTTGTGCATTTTAGTTAATTCTCTACTGTTAGACTAGTTTTAACCTCCCTTTGTGTTTTCAGTGGTAATCAGCCTCGTTCCCTCAGTTCCCCTGCTCAGTCATCTCTCGTAGATGTTTAACATTCCCCTGATTATTGATTACACGTCCTGTGCATTTAAGCTCACTGGTTTCCATAGTTCGCTACTGGTCTCTTCCGTTGTTTCTAGCCTGTAATTTCTCCTTAGTCCTAACCTGTGTTTTCGTTCTGCTTCAAACACACAACTTCCGACGTTTGATGCATATTCAGCACATACCAAGGATCAAGTTGGAAGTAATTAGCTGCCATCTAGTGGCTGAAATCCAATTATGCATTATTTAGCTAACTTGCATACCAAATACTAAATATGCATCTTCTGTACATTTTCCACTTAAGATTATAAAACAGAATTTCCTCATCTCTTTGCATAATTGTATATAAACCAAAGCAGAAGGGAGAAAACATAAGATTAAAATTTTTCCCCCTGTAACCCAAAATATATTTTTGTCCTAATTTTTTTTTTGTAACCTTTTCATTTGGTGCCAGGAATGAACACATAGACAGTCACCTTACCTCTAGCTGATGTTCTGAGCAAACCCAAAATGACATAACACTGCTGACATTTCCCTGAGGTACCAGGTGGTGGACACAGTCAGTGTTTTAACTAGGCGTCTGGACCGCCTGACCTCTTGTACGCCTTTCGGTTTGTGTCCTGCGGAATCACTACCACCGCCGCCCGAGTCAGCACTTGTGCTAAAGGGAAGAGGTTAATAACTCTCCTCTCACCATCGCATGTTTACACAACACAGACATGTGTTGAAAGGCCCCCGTTGAGCCACCTGAAGGGCACGATGTAATACAGCTTGACTGACAGATGGCATTTGGAAGGGCCACCCAGGGAGGGCAGGGGGAGGATATGTGCAGCGGTCAGCGTAAAGGACGGGAGGCGATGAATCACAAAACACACGCCGCTAACAACGCTGACACAAACACACCGAGACATGTGGCGGCATGCTAATGCTCATATTTAATAAGTCAACAATTAGCAACATTTTAGCTCCACGCTCTTACCGCCAGTGCCCTAATGAGAAGTTTTTTTAGAAGATAATTGAAGACTTCACATGAGGACACGACAAGTGTGACTAAGCATGTCTGAGTGCATGGTTTTCATTGAACTGGAAGCAAGTCCGTCTGAGACTGGCGACTTCTTTGCAATAGTTTAATTAAGAAAATGTAACAAACTTTTTAATATGCAGCACTAATCGGCAACGCCGAGGGGGAGCCGAATCAAGAAACCATTCACGCGCGATTAGCGCCATCTAAGTGTGAGCAGATCGCACGAGAAACGAACAGATAAGGCTCAACTTAACCCCTCATCTCACTGCTTATTAATGTGATTACCCAACTTGTTCTGCAAACGTTGGTGTCCCTTCATATATTTGCAAGACAGCTGGCAAAATATGTGGATAATTTGTTGCTGGATACAACAGTGAATTTATTTATTTATTTTTTAGCAAATTCTTTGGAAAACAGCTCATGCTCAGTCAAACTGGCTGAAGAAAGAAATTATCACCCATTTTCAAGTCAAATGCAACTTGCAACATGTAACTTAAATTGGCAGGTTTGATTCCAGCTGGATTTCATGAAGCGGCAATTAGGTGCAGCACTTAGAGGAGCACCAGATGATTCCATCATTGCAAACGGTAAGCTTCAGGTAACAACGACCTTAAAACTCACCTTGTGTCAGTCGGTTCCTGGTCGATCACCTCTTCCTGGTTCCAATTCCTCGTCACCTCCTGCATCTCTGACGGTCCCTCTGGATTCCTTCCTCCAGTTTCCTCCTGGGAATGTGTAAACGATAACCGTTTGGGTTCAGTTTTAACATCTGCTCAGTCTAAAGTGACAAAACCACAATGGCGTATCAGGGCCATTGCATATAGAAAAGAAGAGGAGTAAAGTTCTGCAAAACACTTTTAGATTAATCTCAGAAACTGTAGAAAAACAAGAAATTTTCTTGAGCTTCAAAAGTCAAAGACTTGTGAGAAAAAAAAATGGATAAGCTTTGAGATCGCAGAAATTTTCTAATAAAGAAAAAAGACTGAGTTTCAGAGCTTGAAAAATTTCGACTTAAAGAGTAAAAAAAAAGTTTAAAAATGTTACTTTTGAAACTCAAAAATTATTTTTTTCTCAAAATTTCTGAGATTCATCTCAAAATTTAAGTATTTTCTAGCAAATGGTCACCTTTTCAAGCTCTGAGTTTTTTTTATTGGGAATTTACTCCTTCCTGCTTCTATCTACAACGGCCCTAATATGTCATCATACAAAACTCAAACTTATATGTAAATCCATTCCAGCAATGACATTTATAAAGCTTTTATTGCAAAACCTTGTTAGAAAAATTCCTGTCTACATAAGCCTTTAAAATGCTTTGTAAACAAAGTGTACATGTAATCTTTATGGACAGAAATCTGCAAAAGTGGTTTTCAATTTTGAGTCATCACCTGATTTGATAACATAAATGATGACAGAAAAAAGAAGGCATCTTCTATGAGACATTCAAGCTTTAAAATAATAGAAGTATTGCATTTGGAACAGAAACAAAAAAAGACATAATTGTGACTAGCAAAAAAACAAAAAAATAAAAACAGAATGATTCATACATAAGGCCTTAAGCCCACCAGAAACTAATTCTGCCTAATCTGGCCCACACACATGCGAGGGAAGAAAACAGCCTAATGACTTTCCAAAGTAAAGACGGTGTGCGAGGAGAAAGGTGGGACAGAGACGAGACAGACTGTGGCCGAGATCTGAGGGAAATCTGTAAGGTGGAAGGATGTGATAAGGAAAAGAGGACAGACGGACTGACCACAGTGACTGGATATCAGTTTTAGGAGCGTGCAGGAGGAGCTCAGGGAGATTGTAACGTGAATTCACCATCAGCCTCTCAACTTCCATAAACACCTGCCAGGGCGCCAACACGGTTTTGGAAAGAAAAGACATGCTTGATGTCGATGTTAGCAAAAAGAATACTTGAGACACAGAAGATGTCATTTGGTAACTTTTTAGATATTCATAAATATTTTTTCAATCAAGTTTAAACATCTAACAATTTGCTAAAGTCCAAGTTGTAAACCTAAAAGAAATGGGTGGAGGTAAACATTACTGGATTGGACGTCACGTGACTCATCGGGCTCAACTTATGCACCATTGCATTGAGTCATATGAACTGTGTGATGCTGTGATAGCTCTGGTGAAGCCAAGAATAAGTACATTGTCCAAAAAAAAACAAAAACAAAGCAAGCAAAAAAAACAAAAAAAAAAAACCATCTTTCTACCACTTCCTATGATTATCTTTGTGGTTTGCACCAGTAGTAACATACAGATATTGATCCCGCGACGTGTGATCTGAAAAAATAAATAAAAATTTCCATTACAGTTTTTTTACTACGGCTGAAAAACTCATACTAATGACCAAAAAAAAAAAAGAAAAAAAAGAGTTTTTTTCAAAATTGGAGCGTCTCCGTTCAGCAAATTTATTCTTGTAGCTTCAATTTGCACAATTTTATGGTTCATGGAAACCCAGCTTGTGTTCTTGTAATCTGCTTGACAGATCAATTTGAGGTGCTAATCTTTTTAAGAAGGCTTTATGGATTAGATATCCATACAGGTTCTGCCATGTGAAATGTGTGGAATCCTACTGGGACTTTGGCCAAACAGAAATAGTTAAAATTTTACTTGAATCTCTAAAAATCTATTTTCCAAACCAGAACAAATGTTCTTTTCATTAACTCTTCAAAACACCCCCAAAAAAAAAAAAAAAAAAAACACAGGCAGAAGCATCTTGACGCTTCAATTTGTGTCAAGATTTTTTTTAATTAATGTTAAAAATATGGGCATGAAAAATGATGAAATGAGCTTAAAATGTTACCTTTGATTCCTACAGCCAATTAGTGTAGTTTTTCAGCAGGAAGCAGAGTTGGGACCCTCAGATGATGTTATGCATAATATATTGGGAATAAAATGTGTCAGCTCTGAACTGCTTTGATGTGTCTTTACGTTCAGTCTGAGCCACGATGCAGAAAAAAAAAAATCAAGATCTTATGTAGACGCCAGTTTTAATATCTTAAACTGGTTTAATATGATTTTTCTCAAACGGCGTTCAACTACAACACACAACTAAACAGTTGAGCACTATAGTAAAATGGTTTACTAGCAAATGTTGCTAAAATAATTTAAATTTTCCCTAAACATATTATGTATCCTTTGAAGATTTGTGAGAAGTTGATGCACTTTTATCACCGCAACTCTAGACTTATCTTCCCAATCGCCCAGATTCGTAGACTATAAAGAGAAAATTACAAATTTATGATCATATTGGAGCTAAAAAATGATTGTTTATATAATTATTTTTATTTCTAAAAAACAAGAAAAAGGAGGGCGCATGCGCCAACGTGTATGCAGCCTGTTGCAGTTGCTCCTGCTCGTAGTAATCGATTTCTTTGACCGTTGCAAATAAATTTATTTACCAATTATTAATATTCAATTTATTTAGTCAAGTTTAAATTACATATCACACATATATATTTTTCATAATTTTAATATTGCTCAGATTAGCAAATATTACTAATTTTTAACACCTTGGACGGAATAGCTTGTCAACAAATAAGCAGTTTCCCCCTAGGACAGAAATAAATTCCATTTTGACTCATTCTGCTCAGATTATATTGAATTTGTTAGTTTTGTCAAAAACTAATTACAAAAACCACATCAAATTATAATCAGGCCTTGTTACGCCACCGCCGTTCAACAGAAGCTCGTTTTAAGAAATCCTGACCCATCTCTGTCATATTTCAAATGTAAAAAAAAAGGGCAGCCAGGAGACGGTTGTTCCTGCGGCTGGATTCTGACGGATGATAATCTGAAGGACGGTTACATGCTGGAGGGCCGTGAGAATCGGTTCCGCCTTCAGCGTATTGTTGCGTCTCTTCTCCTCTGTGTTTCAGTCGCGTGCTTCACGAAACCTTCATATTGCCTCCACTTACAAAGCGCTTGTCGACACAAACACAGGCAAATGAAGAAAGGATGGAACTTAAACCTTAAATTGTTGAGATTTTGCTTTTGTGAATTAAGATTTTTTTTTTTGAAAATGTAAAATTAAATCAATTTGTGGGAGAAGAAAAACCAAAACATTCCACTTAACAGGTCACATTACCACATATTTAAGTGGGTGATGTATAATCGATGACACTGTTGGAAACCCGACAAGTGAACCGATACGACAGATCAGAGCCATATAGAGAGACATACAGACATATCAGAGAAATATGTGATGGGTATCGATTTAAATCAGGGTCAGAGGAGAATATGAGACGGGAACAGACAGACGTTCTTCAGCTGGGAGCCATGGGTAATCCTGAAGGGGAAGTGGGGACGACTTCCCACAGTACGGTACGTTCGCATGTTTCTTACATAAGCAACACTTTGGAAGAAGGATTTCTGCATCATGGCTTTGCAATGTGTGTGTGGCAGGAGCTCCGGCCAGATTAGGTTAATCAAAAACATGGACATTTTATTGCTTTTGTAAATTTTCTAGGCTTTAAAACCAATTTCAAAAATTGAAATCTTGATGGAAAATATTTAATTGTTTCAAGAAAAATATAGAAATGTTAAGAGGGGAAAAAAACTGTTTTGTGATTGAAATGAAAATGTTTCGAATAAAGTGGAGGTAATTATTTTTGAAGACGAAATGCTGAAACTGTGGTGTTCTTCCCAAGCAGTGTGCGTCTATCTATTATGCTAAAGGAGAAAACATATATATTTGCTGTAAACACTCGTCACGCCTAATCACATTCCTCTAGGGGGCGCTGAGGTGTATTATGCACCATATCACAACACAAAGTTGCTGTGAACTTCAACTCTTGATGTCAGAGTTGCTGTAGTTCATCCATTTTCCCCTCTGTGCACCAGCCAGGTTCGTTTACCAGTTTCAGGACCCAACTAACAATACTTTGAGAAAAAATGAGATCTGGTTAAATATAAAACAGGTTTAATGCCAAAAATGATAAAATGTTACACATCATCCAAATGTAACAGATACAGAGTGACGTTCACTGTCCAGCACTGGGCTCCACTCAGCTCACCTTAGGGTGAAACCAAGTGAGGCAAAGATTGTAGCTCAAGTTCAGCTTTATTTTCTCCTCATTCTGCTCCCTCTCTAAGGTGTTGGCCTTAGTTTATATGTGTGACTGTCATCAGTCTTAAATGTTACGGTTATGTCAGCATGCAGCCATGTGAGCAGATAAAACGGATAGAGAAAAGACAAAGAGTCCTTTTGTCCATAACAGTGAGTGGAACTCCTGATCAATTTCTTGTGACTTTATAGACAAGAAATGTTACAAGAGTCAAAGTTTCTTTTATGAAGGACATTTTAGTTCCATTAGTCTTTGTTTTTCACAATGTAGCATCAGGTTTTTTTTCTATTTTTTGTATTTGTTTGTCCTTAGCTTGATGTTTGTTAGCCCGTTAGCTCCTCTTTACACCAAGCAAACTTTTAGCCACATAAAACAGTTTTTTTTCCCCCCTCAATTGGCGCAACTACATACGACGTCGCGGTAAGTTTTTTAATGACTTATTTCATGAATCAACTTATTCACAGAAAATTTTAATTGTTTCTTATTTAAAGGAAACAACGCAATTGCAAAATTGCGTTGTTTCCTGACATTAACAGAATATCAACAAAGTTTTTCACACTTTTGTAATGGAAACGCAGTTTGTGTTTGCTTATCAATTTGAGCACAAAAACAATGTAAAACTACAGCTGCAACAGAGCCGGTAGAACTGCTCTTATAAAGTAACATGAGACCAGATAAAATTTTGCCTCTCCTTAGGCAGTAATCTGAGTCAGCCGCTGATTCAGATTGGAATAGAGGGCTGGGAATCCGGCCAAATCAATATTTATGGGAGACGAACAATCAGACACAGACAGCAGGTTTTCTTAAAATATGTTTCCAGAAACCATTATTTGCATAAAACACAAACAGGGTACAGTTTGAATGTTAAATGTAACTGAAAATGAATCCTCAATGTCTCAAGTCTGATCAGTCAGAGGTAAGTGTCACAAGCACACCCAAAAGGAAAGATTTGAAATTATTATTCCTGTGACCTTTTTAAGTACATTTTATATTTCATTTTCTCCATTTGGGTTCAAACTTCCATGATGAATGTAAATGAGCCGAGGGGAAACCGATATGTGATGATTTTCAGACTTCATAGAAATTTAACAGGTCATTTGGGAGCACTGGCTAGTTCCTGGAAACTGCACATACCAGTAGCCTCAGGCTCCCCAGGTAGTGACGATTGGGTTAATCTTTGGTTTTATTTTTAAGCTAAAATAACCAACAATATCAATTCAAAAGTAAACAAAAGGAAGAAAGGTTGTAATTTGGTTCGATTTCTTGACTGACACACAGTATAATCTTACAGTAAGCAGGGGGCCTGAGTCGTGGAAAGGAATTAATTTCCTCACACATGCAGGCAGAAATATGCAAGTGCAGTGAGTCACAGTGAGCGGATGAGTCAAAATTCTCACAACAGGAAGTGTAAATGCCGAGCAGTCACCATCTAAGCCGTTATTAATTCTGGAGCACGCCGCCGCCAGCTTTCCACTCACCTGTCATCTGATCAACAGCTCCTCACAAGACTGTGAGGGATTTACACCCAACGGTTCAAGGTTAGAAGAAGCGGGCAACATTTCTTTCAGATACACACTTTCTGAAGCGTTTAGTGTCGTTCAATGAAACAATGAAGAATTTTGACTGTTGCTTGTGAGGTCTATGCATAAAAGCCCTGAAAAGGAGAATAATTGAGTAAATGAGCCACAGATGTGTTCTTTTCTCCAGCATGCATTGGCTGAGTTATTGTAACTTATACAGACACACTGCATGTTATCGTTTACATC